CAAATGTTTAGAGATGCTCCTACATCCAGAGCAGGGGCATGCAAATGCAGACTCTGTGGTGAGCTTTGATGTGCCTGAATTAGTGAGATCACGAAACAATTTGAGCATAGGAATCTTAATACTTCCATCTTCTGTAGAAACTATAGGTGTTTCTATAATGTCTGTTAGTCTTGCAGCATCCCAGAGTGCCTGAAGGCTAGTCTGTGAGCTTCTCCTGGACCATGATTAGACTCATGAAGACCTGACTCCAGGCAGGCTTGTCACTAGGGACCTGGGTGGGAACATAAACCTACCACCTTACTTTCCCTGTATTTCAAAAGAAATTAGGATAGTGCCTTTTTTTTTTAAAGTCAAAATGAATTAGGAAACACGATTTGGTAAAATGAAATGAATTTACTCAGGTTTTAGCCAGAACTGGAGAAGCTCTTAGTTTTTACCTTTGCTGCTGTAGTATAATTTTATTAAAGCAACAACGACAAAAAAAGATGAAACAAAGCCAGGAAATATGCATGTGTGAAAACTGTCAGGACTGTAGAGCTCCACCCCACTCCACCCTCACACTAGTATGTGAAATTATATATATATATATATATATATATATATATATATATATATATATATATTACAAAAGAGAGATACTTTTGCCTCCTTTTGTTTCTGAGTATTGAAACAGTGATCCCTGGAGAGTTACAATTTCCCCCAAGGGAATCTCATTCTGGCAGATGCCTGTACAAACCATAGGAGTTTGCCTCCCAAGAAGAAATGTCACATGGCTGTCCACCTTATAAGGCCACCTTGCAGAGACAGTGACGGGTAAGCCATGGGCAGCATCACCCCTTGAAGAGGACTGCTTGGTGATACAAACCTCTTGCCCTCTATTCAAATCTAACTCTTAGATCAGGACTGTGAAAAATGATTAGGAGATCACTAGACCTCTTTATCTGTTCCTCCACCCAGTGTGGTCACATTAAGTTCCTCTCTCTGTTTTTCACTATTATCTCTATAACTGACATATTGAGGACAGGTGGTCATGTCTAGCTTGGTTAGATTGTCAGGGCTCAGGCTTTGACCCAAACAACCCTGGTGACACCTGCAGTTGTGGAAGAGATGAGACAGTACCTGGAGTGAACCTGGCATCCTTTCCTGATACAAACCCTGAGTGAGTGACAGAACCTCTCTAGTTCTCAGTGCGCTCCATCAAACTGTAGATTTACAAGATCCTCCAGTGAGAGAAAATAGAGCACAGCTTCCCAAATACCACCTGCCATTTCATTAAGAATTGTTGCCACAAAAAGTCAGTTCTTCAATTGTCAAATTTAGTTGTCACCAGCCACAAATAATTAAATATATGATGGGGGATGTCCTTCTGTATATATGCTTCTCTTATTGGTTAACAAATAAAACACTGTTTGGCCTATAGCCAGTAGGGACAGGAAGATAGACAGGGCTAGGAGATGAGGAGAATTCTGGGAAAGGTAGGCAGGGAGAGCCTGCAAGAGGGAGGCCATGTAGCCAATTGGGAAGATAGGACGTGCCAGGCATTCTCCAGTAAGATAAGACCATGTGGAAATACTTAGATTAATAGGGGTTAATAAGAGAGACCTAGCCAATAAGAAGCCCTAGCCATCAGCCAATAGTTTAATAATTAATATAGTGTCTCCGTGTGTTCATTTTGGGGCTGAAGTGATGGAACCTGGCAGGACAAAAAAACCTCTGCAACAAGTATATTTAAATCAGTTTAAATTAGGATTTCAGTTCTTCAGCTGATTTGACATATCTGAAACACAGCTGAAATTACACATACTTAGTACAGATATAATATTTTCACCAAATAATTCTACTGGATCGTGCCCTGCCTGCTTGGGTTCTTAAGTACAAAGACTAAATACTAGCTTCTTTGAAATCTTTCCTTGGTAGCAGAAAACAATGCAAGGCTCCTTGTTTCCTACAGCATCTCTTTGGGATGAACCTTTTTTGGCTCCAGTTCAGCCTTCAGAAAGAATTTTCTCTGTAGTTCTTACCTTCAACAGTTCAGAGGACTCTGGCTAGTGATTTGTCAGCAGCCTGCACTGCAGGCTTTGACTCCCTTATGGAGTCTGGGATCATGTGGGTAGCTGCCGGAACCTCCAAACTCAGGGTTTTACTCTTAAGCAAGGAGTACCCCTAAGGCTTCATTGCAGCCACTAAGAGCTTAGTGTGGGAGACGTCATGAAGTCCCCCATGAACCCAAAGTACCTTCATGGCAGAGGTCAGGGAGCAGAGACCAAAGACTATATCTTTTAGAAAAGCAATTGGCACTATCAAGTAGGAATCCTATTTTTCTGTGAACAGCCAAGTGCCTTCCTCAAGGGGTTTTGAGACAGGCATCATGGGCTAGGAACACATTATAGAGAATGTGTAAGTTCATAGGGTTTAACTTTAACAAAAGCCAAGTCCTCTTAAAATATGAGACGAAGACCCAGGGAATCAGACGAGCTGCATTTTCCTCAATAGTGTCCCTGGTTCCATGGTTCAGAAATAACATCTTCCCCATTCTTCCTGGGCTTCAACAGGCTTCAACTCTCTGAAGTCAGACAGGATGGGAAAGGTGTTTATAGATGAAGGTAAATGGGTTACCCCTATCCTTCTGCTTAACCCATCTACCTTCATCTTTGCCAGAGGAAAGAAATAACTAATATAGATTTATATATGTCTTGATTGCTAACAGTGCTTATAAAAGATTATATGGAGGAAATGTGTAAGCCATTATTGAACAGCCCATCTGTTTTTAGCACAACCTCTTTTATCATTTATGAAAATAAAGCCATGGCTGTGTTTATTCTTTGTCAGGATTCCATCTTCTTTTTCATTTGATAGTAACAACAATAACAATGGCAATTGCAAGTAGTCAGTACTTTGTTATCTGCACATACATGTTAGCATACTCGAACCTCACAATCATTCAGTGAGGTAGGAAGTGTCACTCACACATAAACAGGAGAAAATCACCTTACCCCAAATTTCCTGGCTCCAACTGCATGCTCTGGGCTCTGGATTACCTGAGGTAATAACACAGACCAAAGGCAGACATTATAAGCCCTCCAACCCCTTGCTTCCTCTCCATTCTGTTCTTCAAATACAACCACTGTGACTGTTTCTGGTTGGTTCTTCCAGAGGTATTCTATACATACATGCATATCCAAAGGGCACTAGGAGGTCTGGACAGGAGATAAAAATACAGACACTTTTGTGTTCTGTATCATCAAAAAGAATCTGCATGTGTATGGTTAACAGTTTAGCACAGGCGCGCGCGCGCGCGCGCACACACACACACACACACACACAAAGTGAATAGCTTATTCATTGTATGTTAACTCCCCAACCCTGGATGAATGCAGGGGATTCCAGAAAACATCAACTAGAGTCCATGTTCCAAGACAGTTCTCAAGCCTAGATGTTCGATGGAAGAGATGTGGCTGACTACCTGAGCAGAGGGCCATGACAGCTCTAGGGTGACTGGCTGCTTGTTTCCCTCCTCCTGGCTCAGTGAGTTGGAAGGCAACTTGTCCTCAGCGTGTTAATCTGCTGCATTCTCAAACTGCCTGGCTCTGAATAAAGTGCAAGATAAAGATCCAAGTTCTGTCTCTGCTCATTGGCATTTGTGGCAGGAGGAGAGAGATAGGTGATCTGGCCACCTCTCACCCATGTAGGAGATAAATGTTTTCCGACAGCAGATTGCTTTCCAGGTGTACACGTGGGTACTAAGCATGCTTAGTATAGGGACAAGGAAAGAGAGCAAAATGAAGTGAAAATTAAGGATGTATGGGCCTTTTAAAACAGTCCTTCTACCCCAATGATTCTGCTGCCCCCTCTGGATATGACTTCCAGCTCTGACCAGGGTTAAATATCTTAGGGCTTCCTGCCCTGCCCTCAATTTTCTGCAGAGTGTATTATGCAAACAGCACAGGACACATTCTCTTGGCCTCATTGACTGTCTGAGCCCCACCTGCCTAGGCGTGCTTCAGATGTTCATCTGGTTGCTCATCCTCATCTCCCCATGACCCAGGTGTCTCACAAATCTGCAGAATGAACGACAGTGCACAGACAGGCAACAGCCGGAGTGCTGTTTGGATGATTGCTCATTGCCCACTGTGGCTTGATGACTGTGGAATGGCTCGCTCCAGAATCTCATCTGTGAGTGCTGGAGTCCAAGGCAGATGGTAGATAGTAGGCTGCAGGTCAGAATGGCGGGGAAACTACCCAACCAACAGCCTTCCCCTTTCTCGGTCAGGTTTCCCCCAGCATTGCAGGCAGTTTTTAACAAGCTAGGTCTCAAACATTCTTTGGCCCTTCAGTAGGGCGACCACTGTTGGTGAGATAGGCTAGACCTCTGAGTATCTTTGGTTGCCCTGGGCTTTCTCATTTTCTCTCTCTCTCTTTTACATTTCACTTATTATTTACTTTATTGTGTAGTGGGTGGATGGGTGGTGGTCAGAGGAAAACTTGCTTGAGTGTGTTCTCTCCTTTCACCATGCTGGACCTGGGAAGAAACTCCAGCTCAATGGCAAGAGCCTTAATTCACTGAGTTATCTCTAACATCCCACGCCCCCAGGGGCTTTCTCTCCGTTGCATCCACATCTCACTGCTCTAGAATCTGGCTTCAACAAAAGGCCTCTCACCAGTGTTAAGTAATCTACTGGATTCTCAGATCCTCTGTCCTGCTGCCCACCGCCCCTCCTCCCTGTCTCGCCTCCAGACTGGCTCACAAGCACTCACTACCTGCTCATGCCTTCAGCACACTTTCCCTGTCCCCAACTGTCTCTTCTGAAAGTCCCCAACAAGGCCTGAAGCAGCCCATCTCTGTCACCCCTCTCTTTTACCTGCAGCTAACCTTTGGAGTGGATTCGCTCTAAAACTAGAGGGGTACGAAATCGCAGCAGCCACAGGCGACCAAGCCAGGTCCCCAGAGCTGGGGCGGGGTGTGCCTTCGAGGAGGCGCCCCACTACCCTCTGGCCCCTCTCACCGCATAAGCATAATGGGGACACGCTCTCTGACCCGCTTTCCCGGAGGCGCTTTTTTGGTCCTTCTGTTTGGACAGGGGCGGCGACCCGGGGGCGGAGGGGAGTGGCCGCCGCGGCCTATTTCCGCGAGCACTGCGAACTCCACTCGGGGAGCCCCACGCCAGCTTCCCGCATCCACGCAGTCCCGTTGGCCCACGCCGTCCGCGTCCATGCAGCCTCGTCGAGCCCTGCCGCCTGCGCTGTTGCTGAGCCTCTGGCTGCTGCTGAGCCTCGCACTGCCGGCGGCTGCCGTGGCGCCCTGGGACTGGGAGCACACCGAAGTCCCCGCGCGTCCCCAGGCGGCGGGGCTGCCACGCGGGATCCTGCAGCTGGCGGCGCGCGCTGCGCTGCACTTCTACAACTTCCGCGCCGGCTCGCCCAGCGCGCTGCGGGTGCTGGCCGCCGTGCAGGAGGGCCGCGCGTGGGTGAGTGGGCCGCGACGCGGAGGGACAAGCGCAGGGAAAGCTGAGCTCCCAGTCCGAGATCGTGCCATGCGGCAGTGTGGTGTCCTCAAACGCTGACTCTGCCTTTCCGACTTTTCCTAAGCCAGGGATACTTAACATGTTAAGTCTTGATAAGGACGTTTGGGGGAACTGAGAAAAGGGTCCCACAAACTGCAGTCCTGGTTGGGGTACCCAGAGTGTGTTGCTGTTGGGATGCGCACTATATACCCAACCGACCTGTGGCTTAAACTCAATGGCTTCTACCAAAGGCTATGTCCTAAGTCTAAGCCAGCTCTCAGCATGCAGACAAGTTTCTGGCGTTTTGTTCTGTTTGGTTGTTAATTGTAGACTACTGTGTATGGTGTCGGGATAAAGATTCCTCATAGGCAGGGAACACTTAGTTCTGGCATCGTCCTCATCTAACCAGCCAGTGACAGGGCCACAACAGTAGTCTGCCAGAACTTACTGAAAGCTGTGCTTTCCAGGCTGTGACTTTGGTGCAGAGTTGTGTGAGTGAAGCTGCTGCATGGCTCCCTTCTTCAAACAGATTTAAAAAGTTTACTCAACTGCAGAGGCCTAAAGGCAATGAGGCTCCCTGAATGTTCCACAAAGCCACAGACCCATGGCCATAAACCTTATGTGGCGCTGAGCATAAGGTGTTAATCGGTGGGATGGTAAAGACTGTCCTCTGTCTAGATCAGATGATGTGAGCCGCCCTATGGAAGGTCAGCTTTGTTCCTTATTTCTAGAAAAAGGCAAATTACTGTAACTGTTTAAAAACAAAAATCTTTACTGTCTCAGGTATATGCTCCTTTCCGCCAAGTTCTGGCCTTCAGTAGTTCACCAGAGGAAGGAGGTCGCATTAAGAGCTTGCCTTCCTCTCAGGGAGGAAAGAGGATCCCTGAAGGCAGCCTCCCTGGTTAGCTGGGGGAGTGTTCTCCACTAAAACAAAACAAAAAACCCCAGACTGACAAAGTACACCAGTTTTCAAAGATCAGAGATCATTTCCCATCATTTCAAGATGATTTTTAAGAATCATAAAATAGGGCTAGTGAGATGGCCACTGGGAAAAGCCTGATGATGTGACTTTGGTCCTCTGGCCTGGGCGTGGAAGAAGAGAACTGAGTCCCCTAAATTGTCCTCTGACTTCCACATGCCTGCTATGGCATGCATGCACACACATAAGAAATAAATGCAAATTTAAAGAAAAAACATTAAATATCTTTGTACTTTTAGCCACCTCTTAGAAAAGGACTCCTTGGTATCCTTAAGAAATAAACTAACTCTCAAAACTTGAAGGAAAACCACTCCCTTTGCCTTCACTAAGAGCTCTGGTACTGTTTATCATCTGTCATAGCACAATGTTCCTGAGTTTTAAGGAGGCCCTTCTTAATTGCAAAGGGTGTGTGAGAGAGTAAATGAAACGTGGATCTAAGACACCAGCCCTAAGAAACAATTCTCTGATGTTATGTTCCTTTCCCCTTAATCCCCCTTATCTCCATGGTTTTCAGCATTCATGTGATTGCAGGAGCCAAGGAAAAGAGGTCGGTGTGCCAAGAATTAATTTCTGCCAAGAATCTAGTGAAATTGTTTTCCTTAAAAGGTTACTAAAGAAAGGCCCACTACAAAAGTTGATCAAGCAGGCCAGTGTTGGGGTGATAAAGATCTGACAAGGGCATGCAAAGGTCTATGAGGGTAGCAGAAACCAAGGGGAGTGGCCAGGAATAGGCCCTGATTCCTGATGGGGAATTGCATTGATCTGGCTTCCTGGGATCAGCAATAGGTTTATACTTTAAACTGGCTCCGTTTTACCTCCAAAGAGCCATACAACCTGGAAACCTATATGTAAGCATTCTCTACCTATCAAAATTCTTCCAACACCAGGCAGTTATAAAAGTTGTATCATATAATAAAGCAGGCAAAGTATCAAAATATGGGCCTGGGTATTTCATCACCCAGTAGCTATTTCTTGAGCACTTTGTGTTAGGCATTAAGATAGATTTTGTGACCTTAATTCATATGTGGGGTAGCATCCTCAGGAAAGGCAACTTTGGCATTCTTTTTGCTTTGAAGTGCTCATCCACCTAAAAGAACACAAACTTAGCCTGATGAGGACAGCTTCCAGAAAGGTGGCTGCAGGGGCTTCAATGACAAGAGAAGCCACAGTACCCAGAGGACTCATCTGCTGTTGGTAGAGGGGTACCGTCAGGGTACAGTCTGCATCCCATAGGCCCTTTGGTAGGATAAAGTATTAGGTTGCTATATTGTATCTGTCTTTCACCCTGGATTGAGCTAGGGGAACAAGTGGATATCTAAGTGAGAGGAGTAAAACTCCATAGGCACCCCTCTTCTGTTAGGGGTGAGAATACCAGCAAGTTATGAAATCAATTTCTGAGGGTCCAGTTGTTTTAATTTTGGGTTCCAGGGATTGATTCCACAGCTCCGTACATGCTAGGCACATGTTCTGCTGCTACCTCCAATGTCTTACTTAGGTAATGAAATGACTTGTACTCTACATCATGAGAGTGAATGACAAAAGCAAGAGTGGTATTTAACACTGTGATCCAAATATACGCACATAAACTAGGTCATCATGAGGGATTCGATTCTTGATGTAGACTTCATCCAAAAAAAAAAAAAAAACAAACAAACAAAGAACATGAATGCTGGGGAACCAAATGATGTTTAAAGATCCCACCTGGGAGATTTCCTTGATTTTCTTAGATTCCTCACGCTAGAAACACTGTTGCCCTCTGGTGGTCAAATGCAGTAATCATGTAGATTATGGTTTAAGAACATGCAAGGAAATGGTCTCTGGTCTTCTGATTGAAGATGAGACCTTCCAGCAGCCTGTGTTCTCTGCTATCCCAACCTGATGTCACCTTGTTCCTGGTCATACACTACCATTCCATGACCAAAAAATTTCCACTTTTCTGCTATGATGTGGACCAGCCTCAAGACCACAGTTGGAGTGGAGCAGAATCCAGTGGGTGCTGGAAGTTCTTACGCTACTGCGTGTCCTGGGTCAGGCCTGTTGGGGTTTCTCCACTTCTGGACACTTTGCTTTCACTGAGATGTGCATTTGAGGGCATGTCTGTGTGCACACACTTCCTAAGAAAGCCAATTCATTCAGGAATCAGCTGTTTGGAAATTGGTAAGTGCCCAATTTCCCATCCAGGACCAGAAACAATTTGAACAGCTGGGCAAGGTATTTTGGGAGAGGGGATTGCCCATGCTATATTCCAATAACAACCAGTGAGTATGAATGTATCCCTTCTATTTTAGCATAGGGCTGTTTAACTGGAGCTCCATGGGGGTCTTTCTAGTAAGAAAACACACCAATCATTTCAGAATCCACCTTGATTCACTGCCAGAACCATAGAAAGGACATGAATCATAACCCTTCTCTCTTACCTTTCCCCTTCTTCTTCCACAATCTTGGCTCACTCCAAACAACAACGAGTTGCAGATACAACCTCATCAGTTCTTTCTGGAGCACTGAACTTGGACTTTGTGAGTGTGCTTGTTGGTTGTTTGTCATCTTGACACAAATCTGGTAAGAGGGAACCTCAACTGAGAAAATGTCTCCATCCGATTGGCCTGTAGAATAATGGTTGATGTGAGAGGGTCCAGCCCGCTGTGAACAGTGCCACCCTGGGCAGGTGGTCCTGGGCTGTATTTAAGAAGGAGGGGGGCACTGAGAAAGCCATGGGGAGCTGGTAAGGCAGCATGAGCTCTGCTCCAGTCCATGCCGCCAGGTTGCTGCCCTCCTTGAGTTCTTGTCTTGGCTTCCCTCAATGATGGGCTATGATGGGAAAGTGTAAACCAAAGAAACCCTGTCCTCCCCAAGTTGGCCATGGTCTCTGTCACAGCAATAGGAAGCAAATAGGTCAGTGGGCATGACACAGTTTTTTGTACCTGCCCTTCACAGCTCACCCAACATTCAGTGCCTGATCAGGTAGTTAAGTGCATCCTGAATACCTAGTCTGGAAGAAAGTCAGTTAGTTTTTGGAAAACATGAGGTTACTCTTGTCAGGTCCGAAGGTAGAGTAGCAGCTGCTCTTGCAGGATTCAGACTACCACAGGTCTGAAGTAGGAGTAGAATTTGTCTCCTGGGCCATACAGATCCAAGTGCATGCACTCCACTAAGAAAGAAACTCGTCGCTTTTCAATCTACGAAGCACTTTAGTACAATATTAGACACCTAATTACGACTCCTCCTGAATCCTTCTCTCCATTAATGTCAATAATTCAGAGTCAATCATTAAGAATAGGAAAGCAATGCATTATGCAGAACGTATTGCGTGGAAACAAAAATTGGAGAATTAAAGAGACTGCAACGCGTATACAGGAGGAAAGATAATAAAAGGGCAAAGTGAAGTCATGTTTTCTTCCACTGGAAAAAAAGTCTTATCCTTTAGGGCTGTCATGGTACAGCAGCCAAATCAGAGGCACTCCTGTAGGACCATGCTGTCTCCAGGCCTGCACTGCCTAAGGCGGAGTCCTTGTAACACAGACCAGAGGGGCACACTCCTGCCCTGGCCTGAAAATGCTCAGACAGACTACAGTCCTTGCCTCACCAACCCAGCTCCTAGAGGGCAGAGTCTGTGACCAACATTGGGCAGGGAATGCCAGTGGTATAAAACCTTGATGTGGCTTTCACTGCCCCTTGCTCCAAGTCACCCAAGTGACTATACCGAGAAGGCAAGAAGGAATGCCCCCAACTACCCTGTAATATGTTGGTTTTGTTCATGCTTTCCCCTGTCCACACATTTTACTTTTTGTTTTCTGCATGGAAAACCAGGGTGTTTGTAATCATGTGGTATTAATAGTGTCCCAAATAAGGACTATTGGTTGGAGGGAGGGTTGCTCTTCACATGAGTTTACCCTAGAATCCTCCTTTAAGGCTCTTTATGGTTCCACTGGAAACTGAATACAAATATTCAATCCCCAAAAGATTACATTTTAATACTAAAATGACT